TCTAGTCATTTAGTCAGTGCCCAGGGGGGCATGCCTATACTTCTTTAACCTAAGTAAATAATTATCATAATTTTCACCAAACCGCATATCATTATGATGCATGCACGCATCAGCCTGGGCAGGTGCTACTACATGAGCAGCGTCACACAGCTCTGTTGGAAGAAAATTCGACAGAAAGGAGGCAGGCTCAGGATGTCTTCTCTCTCTGACTTAGAAATGCTGGCTACAACAGTGATAACTAGTCAGGGTTCCCTAAAATGTATATGGATTTCTGCTCTGCCAGATCACACATTAAGGATCCCTGAATGAATCTTGTCTGTACTCTGATATTTCCAATGTCTGTTCTGTGAATATTCTGTGAATATGTCCACTGGTTTGTTGTTATGGCTAGGTTGCATGCTTGAGAAGTATTCTAGTTTTATACTTACTTTAGGAGGGGAGGACTCCCCCGAGTATTAAAACACAGGAAAGCACATTTTTGTTGTTTTTCAGTTCTGTAGATGAGGTTTTCCCAGATGACTGACAGTATAGATTGATGTGGTAATCTGTGGTCTCTAAAGGTCATGCAACCCCATGGCCTAATTTCATACAATGTGAGTGGCACAAATGAAGAGGGAGAGAGATGGTGGAGAGATGTAATTCTGTAATGTTGTAAACTCTGCCTGCTTTTGAGTCTGGCTCTGACTGACTAGCACCCCACCAGTAGACCCAATGGCCCTTCATAGGAAAAAGTTTCCTCATGTACTGGTGCAGATGATCAATCTTATAAAACAGGATGATGCTTTATGTGTATCACTGTAGGGTGTTTACTATTGCAGATGACTAGGGTCAGTTCCAGTGCAAAACATCTTTTAATATGGCTCCTGGTTTATTTAATTCTGAAAATAGGTTTACACTCTCATTCATTTTCTACTTACAACATGGTGATGCAGTTTGTTGGCATTATTAAGTTTGCAAGTATTTGGTCCAGGGGTAGGGAATCAGTGGCCCTATTATGCAAACAACCACTCTGGTGGGTCCAACCCAACTGCTCATGCTATGCTCTTCAACCATCTTGCCTGCATTTTTGGGCCAACCTCTACTCCTACCCAGGAAGCTTCTGTGTGTAAAAGATTGCCACTGCCCAATCTGTCCAAAATGTTTTGTGGAAACCTGTGAAAACTTTAACTTCTGTTTGTCGCATGTGCTACAGCTTATTTACTACCAGCTGCCTGAGGCAGCTTATTTACTACCAGCTGCCTGACTGTGAGCAAGGCAAAACTACCAGCAAGACAGATTGTATACATTGACTACTTGTCTAATGGTAATTTGCCACATTTCCCTTTTAACAAGTTGGATGATGAAGTGTTCCCATTCAAGTTTCCTGCAAGCTAGGGGCCAGTTTTACATTCTTCTACACCAGTGGTTCCTAAGCTTTTTTCCCTTGGCAGCCCATTTCCATAAATTTTACCCTTCATATTGGTAAAATGTTTATAATATAGTTGCTGTTGCTTCCACCATTGTTCCTTATTTTTCGTGTACCCCCAAATGTCCTGGATTGTACCCCTGGGGGTACACATACCCCAGGTTGAGAATCACTGCTCTACACCATTCCGTTCCCTCCCTCTTTCCCATTTTTATTTTCCTGATAGTTATAGACTGAGCATGCCCAGTCCTCATTGGGCTATTTTGTTTCTTAGATGTTTTCCTCCTAAAACTTTTTTGTTGTACTTCTGCAAATTTTGGACTTTCCATGATGAGTTCACTATTAGTAACCAGGATATTATAGTTCTTTTCATTATAATTTCCACGATCACATGCAAACAAGAAATGTTTGACTGATTCCAATATCTCTGCACCTAGAACATTTTGTAGACATCCAAGTTAAGGTTTTGAGCTAATGGATCATGTCTTTTGAGCACATCTTGATCTTTTGTGGAAATGTACAGATACGCCCAGTTGGGCATGGTTTGCATAGTTAATTTTTGTCCTAATAAAAATGTTATGAAGGAAGAGACATTTATTTATACTGCAAATGCTGCTCTATTAATATGGATTTAATGGAAATATTGGTGGCTGTATCCTCTACAGTTATGCTCCATAAATCCTTTTGAAGACAAGTATGAGTCTGTGCACAGTCAATCTATATATAGGATTGTAGTCACTGCCTCAGTTCAGATTAGGCAAAGTCACAGTTAAGGAAACTTAACTGTGATCTGGTACAATGTCTGAACTGACAAACCATAGTTTGCTGTCATCTGGCAAACTAGATTCAGAAACCATGTTTTGAAGTAGGCTTGCAGACTAGTTTTGCTGTCTTAGGCTCTGTAAAGATACTCATATGAGTGGGCATGAGCCCATCCCCTGCTGCAGTGGTTGATTGATCCCCCTGCTCCATGATACGCATTTGTCATGCAATTAGAGCTAACATCATAGTTTAGAGCAGATAAAGTGTATGCTACTAAAGGAAAATGGTGGCGCTAATAGAACAAAAAGTATAGCACCTTGAAAAAGAATTCATTGTAGACATATCTACCCTGTACAAAATAATTGAGCAAGTACTTCTTCTGAAAATTGGTATAATATAATACTCCTAATAATGTATTTCCTATGAAGCCTTTGAATCACTTCACAAATGCAGAAACCATTATGCCTTATAGCAAGTTCGTATTTGCTGATCTAGCAAGAGTAGAAGCAGGCTGTAAGTCCCTGACTAAGCATAGCACTTTGAGGTCTCTAAGCCATGAGTTCTGTTTAATGAAGGCAATGTGATTATACATAATCCAATTTGGCAATTAGGAGGAGTAAAGGATTAACAGGACCTACCAGTCCTACATTCCAAAAGGTGTGAAGTAATTTGAAATACAGTGCACTCAGAAAAGATTTGTCGTATAGAGTGATTCTTACAATGCTATGAGACTTAATGTATGTTTTTGCTACCACCCACTCTGACTGCTAAATTGGAAGGTTTACTTTTAAAACATCTCACAATGGCATATTTTTAGTCCTTTAATAGATTGGGAAGGGTTTTTTTTTTTTTAACTAAAAGAGAGAATGTAGCATTTGTGGAACATTCTAAAACTTCATTTTTGAAGAGGTTTAGAAACCTCATTTTTAAAGAGGTTCTGCATACTTTTTGGAGGAAGATAAAACTAGGTAGATTCTGAATAAAGTACTTTTGTGTTGTAAAGAGATGTTTTAAAATATATTTCAAATAATCATATATTTCCCCAGGAAAAGAGGATTGCTGCTTGAGTTATCAAATCAGCATAAAAGTTACAATGCATAATTAGCAAATCCTTTTGCATTTTGGTTCACATGTGCATCTTTTTCTATGTTCAGACTTTAGATAATTTGAGAAAAATATATGTAGTCAGACTGAGGCAATGCATGAAACATTATAGCTGTGCAGCCATAATTCTTGATAATTTGTTTGTTGTTTCATTTTGTTGTGACCCTGAATGTCCCCACAGTATCTTTGTGTGTTTCTGCAAATGCTGCAACAGGAGCAACAGTGTGAATAGCTCCTGCTATGCTGTTGCTGGGACTGGAACTCAATACCTGACAAAGAGTACTCGGTTCTTTAAGATTTATCCTTCGGTCTGCAGTGGCTCAAAGGAATGGACTGGGAAAGTTTGATTTTTCTTAAGTATTTTTGTACAGAAGTAGGTTTCAGTTAATCAGTGGAACATTTTGAGCATATGTATCAAATATTATGTGGGCATAGACACTATCTGAGGGCAGTATTTCAGTTCACTTGGATAAAAAATAGACAGTGGCTTACTCCAGGAAACTGCCTGACTACATTCCAGAATAATGAATAATTTAAAAGGGTCAGACTGTTCTTCCACATTATTATTTGTGGCAAATATGTCCAATATCGTATTCAGAGCTGTGGTTGTTGCTGCAGATACCATCCAGCAGGCGCTTAAGAAGGGTTTCAGCGTCTTTCATTTTTGTACCTTAGCAAAATTGGCTTTCCTTAATTGGCTCATCTTTGCAATGATATCTATCTTGTCACCCCAAAATATTTTGTGAATGCCAGTAGTTAAGGAAATCAACCCAATCTGTATGATTTGCATTTCAATTTCCCTTGAAAACAACTTCCACCTCCATCGCATCATCCCCAGTTTGTGTATATAAAACTGCCAATTTGAGGTTAACGCTTCATGTTTTTGATGATCTAGGCAGATGCTATGAAAACCGAAATCCAGAATAACTTTGCTAGTCTTCAAGTTGTTTTTTGCTGCAACTAACATGGTTTCTCCTCAGAAAATTAACACTAATGATTCTTGCTAAAATGATTTTATATCACACACTTTCTTATATTTGCTTAACTTTTAGAGTTGATTTTCAGGCAGATGATGGTTCACTGAAGATGACTACCCCTATGTTAAAATATATACTGGAGTAATTAGTTAATATCCTGTGCTGTTCCAGGAAAAAACATCAAATGATAGCAGTAGAAGAGAGATGTAAGCTGGTAAAGGCATTGTTTTTCCCACAGAGTACCAGTAATACCATAGCTACCTACAAATCACTTCTGAAAATTCCCTCACTTTACCAGTATATGGAAGGCATATACATCTATGCGTATGAAAGGCACTATGTAATTTACAAAGCTAGGAGCAACATGTTAAGGTCATTGAAGTTATTCTATATACTCTCCCACAAACAAGGTACTTGTATGCTACTGGAAAGCATTTTAATGCTTTCTTCAGTGGACCTAATGCCATAGTCAGGAAGAAACTATGCACAGAACCAGGAATCCCACAAGCAAGAATTTATGTGCTGGTGTGTACAGTTGCACAACAACCTTTTTTCATGGATGAATTTTGATGAATAGCCTCTAGATTTGGGGATACAGTGATATAGCCCAATGGTTGACTTCAGAGATGTCTTTTCCCTGCCTGCTGCTCATTTATTGCTGATGGCATGCAATGGAGTTTCTGAGGATGTGGGGTGGGGGACACGGGGACCGTCTCCGTTAACTTCAGTGGTGTGTTTTTCTGACAGTCATTTTGCTGTTTGCACTGGAAGGGGAATTGGGCTTTTGCTTAGAATCTGAAGATGATCCTTCTCTGCAATGGGATCAGTATACTGTTGTAACTTTCCTAAAGTTACATTTTTTGTGAGGGATTTAATAGCGGTATAACTTGAGAATACAATCACACAGTATAATTGCATATACTTTGTTTTACCAAACAAAATGGTGATAAAAATAATTCAGAAGCAGAAAAAGCAGACATTTTAATACCTTTTATTATGTTGTTTTTTCAGATCCAAGCTTTATTGTGGAACTATTCAAAACCAAAAATGTGAACAGAAAAATTTCTACATAACAGCCAACAAAGAAATGGGCTTTGTTAGATTCAATATTTGTGTATAATCCTTTGGTGCATCTGTAAAAGTTCTTTGGAATCCGAAGTGAAAATCAGAGCAGTCTTTTCTGAAACAGCATGACTAATTGTAAAGGAAGATCTGTCAGCAAAAAAACAAACGATAAAGCTTATCACGGAGAAGGATTTGTAAATTGGACTATAAATTTAAATACAGTTCAGTCTGACAAATTCTTGAACCTGCTGCTGAGTATGGTTCCGATTGTTTATCACAAAACCCAGGAAGAGAGACATAAGAAAGTGAATGGTCTCTGGCAAGATGGATTGCAGCCATCAGGACACAACTTCAATGTTAGGACAGATCAGCACATGGATTATCATCACTTTACAGAATCAGCTTTTCATCATGGTAGTAATGGACATAATTTATCAGGCTGTAGTCCAAAATATGATAACTTTGTAAGTTATAATTATGCAGATGCAATTGACACGTCAGAAACAGATGTTATGTTGCAGGACAACAATGCATCTAGTGATGGTGAAGAAGATACAATTGTGGAAGGGACCAGAAAACAGCCTAAAGAGTCTAGTAGCATTATGGCACTGCAGATATTAGTACCATTTTTACTAGCAGGATTTGGAACAGTGTCTGCCGGAATGGTTCTGGATATTGTTCAGGTTGGTATTTGCTTAATATAGCTTTTTAATGCACAGTTAAATTCTTTTTGATGTGCTTAATCATGACAATTTAGTATGGTCTTGTATATAAAGGCTGACACATGTGTTTCTGTTCTTATATTTCATTTTTTAGTGGGTATGTAAGGACAATAATAATAGAAAAAATCTTTTTTCAGGAATGGGCTCTGTTCTCTGTCTCTGTTCCTCTACTGCCGCTTATCTCTGGCTTCAGTGCTGGTATAGACTGCTACTTCTCTCACATGCTTTTGACATTTTCATGCATCTATCATATTTGCACAGTGAAACACCTTTAGGTACTATAACATTTATTTGCAAGCAAAACAAAGCTTGAAACAATATTCTGAATGAGGGGCAGTAGCATCAGGATTGCCACAAGAATCAGCTGATCAGCATTCTGTACAGTGTCTGGGAAAAAGATAGTGAGATATGGTTGTCTGAAGGGCCAGTTAATCTGTACTCTTCACAGCTAGCCTGTGCCAGAAACAGGAAACATTAGTTGCTCCCACAAAAAATTCGGGTTGGCAGTTTATATGACTATACAAAAGGGATGAGTGCAGATCCACTGGGTACTCATTGTTTAGGAGCACTGAGAGCCCTCTGTTTAGAAATAACCTGAATCTTTTTTCCAGTTATCTCTAAAACCAATCTACTGTGATATTAATAAATAGAAATCGCTCTGCTTCTCAATCGAAATATCCTATGCCAAGGAATTGTGCATTTCCAGGTTAGAATAAACAAATAATTTGATTCTTTTTTCCCCATCAGATGGGCCATAGACTACTACTCTAGGGTAGAGAAAAAAGAGCAGCATGTGTTATTACTGGTAGTTTTATGGTTTAATTTCTACTCCACCTTTATGCAATTATGTATCCAAGAGAACTGAAAGAAAGTCTTATTACACCAAAGTGGAGATTGCATTAGTGTAACTAATTATGCTATTATCTCCCAGTAAAAATGTCAATAATATAATAATCGCAGTAGAAAAGAGAGCTAACATATTGATGAAGATTGTGTCTATAGAGCTCCTAGTAATTGTGCTACTCACAACGTTACTTTCAAGGTGCAGAGTTTGTCAATGTGCAGTGCTGTACTGTTTTCCTGAAGTGGTGGAACAGAACAAAATGAGGAGGCAGACATCTTTGGCTTTCACTTGACGTCTATTTATTTATTTACAACCACCTCTTTTCCTGTCTAAGTTTTATGGTGGTGGGGAAAGTAGGATAGTACCCTGGGAAACAGTAGAACCCACATTTAGCTGCCCTCTCTTCCAGAACCCATAATTACCCATTTTCACACTATAAGCAGTTTGCACAGTGTAACTGTAATGTGCTGTAAGTCCTACCATAACAATATCTTAACGTCATTGTACCATCACAAACATCTAATGCTTGCATGGTAGGATCATAACAGGAATCAAAATTTGATGAGGCATCAAAATTATTTAGCATTTTCCCAGTCAGCAGCTTTTTGTATTGAACCCTCATGGAAGAGATAAATAGCATATGTGCCAACTGCAACTTCTGTTCTAGCAGCGATTGCTATTTTGTTACATAGCAGTATTGCTGCAGTGAAAATAATAAATAGCGTTCTAGCTGTATGCACCATTTGACCTGTAAATATATCACTGTTTTGAGTTTTAGCCAAAGGATTCATTTTCATTCCCTCATCACCTCCTTTGTTTTTACCAAGGGCTCTAAAACTGCTGAATTGTTTTGAACCTACAAGGTGTCATTTGGAAGCCCTTGGTGTATAGTTTGATCATCAATCTTTGAATTCCAGTGTTCAGGGTCTCACATGTCTTCCTGGCCCTCAGTTGTGCAAATGATCTGTCCTGTAATGATGGAGCAGCTAAGCCAATGGCAACAAGATAGGCCATTTCATCTCTGTCTTGCAAGTCCAACTCTAATGTCAAAGCAAATTAGCCACTCAGTTACCAGAAAACATTTAACAGCCTTTGGGTTTTGACTATGCTAGTTAAGTAATATTGGCAACAGAGACAACATCTCCATATATTCAGTAATGATCTGACATGCCTTATTTCAGGAGTGTTTCTGTACTGCTCACGGTGCTCATCTTCAACAAGATATATTAGATATCAACTGACTTGATCTTTTTAGTTGCTGAAGTACTTTTGTATTTGTGAATCATCTGTCATTATGTGGGCCAGTATTCAAAAACACCATACATGCACATATAATGTTTCTCATTTTTAACTAGCATTGGGAAGTATTCAAAAATATTACAGAAGTTTTCATTCTGGTGCCTGCACTGCTTGGTTTGAAAGGAAACCTGGAAATGACATTGGCATCTCGACTATCAACAGCTGTAAGTATCTGTAGCATTTTGAGGCTGGGATATTTAATATGGGCACTTTTTGTTCTATAGCTCCTGTCACATTCATTGAGATAGAAACCTGTTGCCTCTCCCCCTTGAGAAGCTCTTCAGTTGAAGAGGTTAACAAGCCTTCACTTAGTAACTGGAAGTGAAGGAGGCAGAAACCTTCCTCAGCTCATAATGCTCTTAAAGCTGATAATCTAGTTTATCTCCTTGGCCATCTCTCAAGTGGCAAGTAATGTCTGAATAATGAATTGACTGGATTTCAACCTTACACCCCACCCTGTAGTACATTATCTCCAGTCTTTTGTCAAGTTAGTTGAAGGAGGTCAGGTACCTTCAATCCTAACTTTTGTCTTTGTATGTCTGGATGAATATTTCTGCAAAACATTACGTAATAGGGTTTTGCCGCAATTATGCTAGATTTTTATTGTGAACTGTGTATCAACATTGTAAGATTCTATTTTTGTTTCTCTTCCATTTTTAACCTACCAACTGCTGTTTGAAAAGTAACATTCATTCATTCATTCATTCATTCATTCATGTATGGCTTTTTTATACCATCTACTACCAAGGTCTCAGGATGGTTTGACAATAGACATAACAGAGCAAAATAAAGCACAACATCCTAATTAATTCCTAGCAACATTTGTATTAATTTAAATAAATTTTATACTGCTAAATTAGTTTTTAAAAGATTTTTGTTTTCTAAGCATTTCACAATAACCATGTTAACAATGGCCGAAATTGGCAAAATGTGAAGCATAGATGTTGTGCAACTCCCTTTCCTTTCTGGGGACTAAGGCTCAATTTGGATGCCAGGTAGTAATTCCTGACATTTAGGACCCTTAGGGTATCGAATGGGATTCCACGGGAGGTTGAAGTCCCATCAGTGAGGGTGTTCAAGGATAGACAGGTCATGCAAATGGTAGGCATGTCATGAGTGGAGCTGGCTGGAGCCGGGGGTCAGACTAGATGGCTCAGGAGGCCCTTTCTGACTTGCTCTGTTTCTGTGTTTCTAATTTTGAATTGCCATCATTTTCCATTCATTTTAACTGAGCTGAGATAAGCTTGATTATGTTAGCTTAAAGTACTCATTGCATTAATTCATTGTTATATCTGTTATTGATTTTTAAAGGTAAATGTTGGGAAAATGGATTCACCAATTGAGAAATGGAATCTAATAATTGGTAATTTGGCATTAAAGCAGGTAAGGATTGAAAAGAGCATTGTAAAAAGTCAAAACAAATATTGAGTAAATACCACTTTCATCCCCTCGTGTTCTAGCAACCAGAGCAAAGTCAGAGCATTGCAGTCAAGTGATTCACATACTGTTTAGACTAAATGAGTTCTATAGGATTTTGTGAGATGACATATTGTAATAATTGTATATCTAGCCAGAATTGGGAAATTTTTCTAAAAGCCTTGTAAAACAGATTTTTCGCAAGTCTCTTTGGAACTTACAGTTACTGAGTATCCTGTAGTGCAGGCATGCAGATCGCTCTTTTAGCTTATTTTTTTTAGTATCTACCAATATCTCATTGGTAATAATAAGCTCATACCTTCTTCAGCCGGACTGTGTAGATGAAACAGGTAACTATTTTGGTAGTTTTCCTCTGGTTTTTCCAGTTGACTGAATATAAGCTCACTGCCTTTTCCATGTTTAACAGATCAATCCAGAGAGTAGGGGAAGGAGAATGCATGATGGAAGAGTGGCCAAATTCCAAGGTGGGAGGTGGGACAACAGTTGGAAGGCAAACGCACATGCTAAATCCAGAGGCAGCTCCATTTGAGTTGCAGCTCCATATGAAGGCTAGCTCCATATGAATTGCAGATTCAGAGCCTCTCTGAATCCACGTAGAGCCTGTTTCCTTTTTCCTGGCACTGCCTTCAACATACTCATGGTGGAGTGGCAAAGGGAAAAGGCTTGTGGAGACAGATTATCCTTCCACTTGTAGACTTCTGTCTCCTTGGGTAGTCCCACACCATCCTGTGACCCCAATATGCCCTTCTGTGTGCACACTTATACATGCAGGCAGAGGCACACAGACTAGATGTAAGTCAATAAAAATAATAAAGAAACACTCCATAGGTATCACTGCATACGTAGGCCAGTGAAAGTGGAATTGCGGGGAGAGGCCCTGACACCCCCTTTTTATGGGTATGAAGGGATGGGCCCTGGATGTACCACCAATCTGAAAAGCTACTTGGATTTCTTGGCTGCTGATAAAGAGCATACTATTTGCCAGAGGCAAACTTTTCTAATGCAAAATATGTTTATCTTTGTAGGTACAAGCAACAGTAGTTGGTTTTTTGGCAGCTGTGGCAGCAGTTATACTAGGCTGGATTCCTGAGGGCAAATACCGCCTTGATCATTCAGTCCTCTTGTGCTCTAGCAGTGTTGCAACAGCCTTCATAGCATCCCTTTTACAAGGTAAAAGAAACAGCCTAGTATGAATACTTAAGCAAAGAACATTAATTCTAACATTACAAACACCGCATTTCAAAGAAATTGCAGTAGTTAGATCAGCAGTCAATGTTATTCTACTTATATTCTAGCCATCCAGAAGTACATATAGAGATACATTCCTGGCAGTACTGATTTTGTATGTAATAGGATAATATTTATAAAGCCCATTCATTTAGCTTATTTTGGCAGAGGTGGTCTGTTCCCCTCCTTGCCCCAAGGAACACCCTGAAAACCATTTCTCCAAGATTGTACCTTTGACCTTAAAGAAGCAGATGGTGCAGTTTTTCCTGCACCAGTTTTGGGGCAGGGGATGGAGGGTGCTCGAAGTGCAGGGTTCTTGTCCAGCATTACAGCTGTTATTCAAAGTCAGAGCTGGGACTCTGAAAAATCCTATGGCCTTCTAGGTACTGCCTAAGAGCCACAAGATCACTCTGCTGGTCGTGTAGATTTTGATAAAGGTCTTGCTGGGGTTTATAATACTTAATTTCTACTGATTGCAAACTGAATCTGTTATAAAGAATTGCTTTGTATTAAATGAATTAATAAGTAGAGCTGTTTTTAACAGGGCAGTGAAGAAAATGTAAATTAAATAAAAGCACACCAATTTTATGTTTCACAATTTGGAATTGCAGTGTGCAGTTGACATGCTTTCTATTTACACTGGCTCTAGGAATAATAATGGTGGGTGTTATTGTTGGATCTAAGAAGACTGGCATAAATCCTGACAATGTTGCAACACCTATTGCAGCAAGCTTTGGAGATCTTATCACTCTTGCCATACTTGCATGGATAAGTCAGGGTCTATATGATTGCCTTGGTGAGTATTCTTTCCTTCATAGGATACAAGAATAACTTGTATTGTGCTAACATAGTTATAAGCTATAGTTTAATTAATCGTTGTTTGTTGATTTATGGGTTGTCACAAGCAAACCTGGAACTATGAATAAACTGAGGGTTATTGACTAACATTTTATAAAAAACCCTTAAGGCTTGGGTTTAAACCATGGGTTGTCATTATGTGTAAATCCAGAATCATGGGTTATGTATAGTTGTTTCACAAGGCTACAGAGGCAGCAGGAAGAGCAGTAAAGAATCCCATCTCTTTATGTGCCAATATAGCTGTGTCTCAGAGGCATTTGGTTTACAGGAAAGGAACTGATGAAAAGAGAAACAAGCAACCTAGGGACTGAGAAAACAAAGCATGACTTGTTCAGTTGCCTTCCAGGCAAACCCTAGGTAGGACAGTACACCACGATAAATGAATGGATAATAAAACATATATTAATATAATATACAAATCAGGCCATTGTCTTAGAAGCAACTTGTATGCTTGCTGTTCTCCTTAGTTGCAGCAGTTGCTAGTTGTCTTTGTAAGGTAACATTTTGCTTGCCGGTACTCTTGGTTCACTTAGATTACTTTAGATTGCATTGCATTTGGTGACCGCTCGTTCACTGGCAGGACATGCTATAATACCAGGTTCTTTAAAGTTTTGGTGTACATAGGTATGCTATTAGTGCATGGCCCCCTATCTCAGAGCTTGTGGGTTAGATCTTGGATGAAGTGGTCTGCTCATGGAAGTTCTCCACCCGATTTTGGGGCATCCCGTTTCCCCTGCACCACTGCATAACTCATTGAACAAGTTCCCCCGATTTTTTGTGTGGCAATTTCAGAGTCCTGGATGGACTGCCATGAGGAGAAGAAGTAGAGAAGTCGCTTCTGCCAGCCAGTTGCTTTCATCTAAATCTAAATCCAAGCCATACCCTATACCTTATTATATGCACATCCTGTTTACATTCTGCATTTTAAAAGGGGTATTTTAAATATTTGAGCAAATATACTTCTCGGCATATATTGGAGAAACTACGGGAATGCTTTTTAAGTGTTTTAGTGCTGCTGTTGTACTGAGACATTCTTGGAAATGCAAAACAGGGAAATTGGGGTTCAAAATTTAAATGATGTGCACCAGACCCAATTTGCTAGGAAAGTGGGATTGAAACAACATAGAAACTGTGATCTGAGATAAAAAAAGATGAACAGTGGAGTATGAGTAAAAGAAGGAGATCTCCTCAGCCTGCTCAAGAGTGCTGCAATAAATAATGTGCAGAAGATAGACTAAGTAAGGTAGTGTTCTACCACCTTTTACACCTGCTGAATGAAGCAGTTATTACACAATAAAACATTGTATAAATAACACTAATTAATCTTATAAGTAATTGCAGTTTTAAAAATTATGTGCAAAAACATCCCCAGTTTGACATGACTCCAGTCCTCCGTCAGCTTCACTGGCTTCCCATTGAAGGCCGGACCCAATTCAAGGTGTTGATTATGACCTATAAAGCCCTAACCGGCTTGGGTCCTGGCTACCTGAACGAGCGCTTACGTCCGTATATGTCCGACCGCCCTTTGAGATCTGCGGGAGAGTCCCTTCTCCGGGAACCCTCCATGAAAGAAATTAGGAGAGTAAGTACTCGGAGGAGGGCTTTCTCTGCGGTGGCGCCCAACCTATGGAATTCACTCCCCAAAGAGGTCCGCCTGGCACCGTCGTTACTGGTTTTTCGGCGCCAGGTAAAGACCTTTTTATTTAAACATCATTTTAATTGTTAAAATATATGATCTGGCCAGGGCAACTTTCTTCTTCCTTCTCTTTTCTCCTCCTATATTATTTATTTACTTATTTTATACTGATAATTTTAATTTTATATTATTATGTTCGTAACTCAGTGTATTTTTTGTATTTTTGTATTTAATGGTAATTTATTATGTTCTATTGTATTTCAATGTATTTTATTGTGTTGTAAGCCGCCCTGAGGCTTCGGCAAGGGGCGGCATAGAAATGTTATAATAATAATAATAATAATAATAATAATAATAATAATAATAATTTATTTTCCCTATTTGCCCTCCCGCCCCCTGAGATCGGCAACAGAAACCCTCCTCCAGGAACCCTCTGTGAAAGATGTTAGGAGACAGAGTACCCGGAGGAGGGCCTTCTCTGTGGTGGCGCCCCGACTGTGGAATGCCTCCCCAGAGAGGTCTGCCTGGCGTCATCATTATATGTTTTTTGGCACCAGGTTAAGACTTTTTATTTAATCAATATTTTAGTAAGTTTTAATATCAGATTTTATTATTGTAGTTTATTAATTGCAGCCAGAGTGGGTCGTCAATTTATTTATGCTGTTAGCCATCCAGAGACTTTAGTAATTGGACGGCATGCAAATTATATAAATAAATAAATTTAGATAATGGGAGATTCCTTCAGTTCTCTCTACTGAAGATTTAATACTCAAAATTTTAATCTATAGCTGTTGTGTCATTATTTATGTTTTATTTATGGGATACACTCTTAAATATTAGTAGATGATTGTTGATTGTCACTCATTGTCCTTGAGAGTTACTTCTTTAACCTATCTTCCAAAGGTAGAAATGATAATCCTTTTCACAGACTAAGCGGGAATTACACTTCATTAAGGAAACCATGCCAATCTGGCCCTTTCCAGAAATGAGTGTTTTCTGCTCTTTCCTGGACTTGCACCAGGAAGCATTAAATCTTAGTTCCACATACTCTAGGTGCCACTTTTATGTCTCAGTTGGCCAGTGTTCACAGGTGGGTGGAGTTGGATCCTGCCCTGTGTGTGTGTGTGTGTATTTAATCACCACCCAGCACCTGCTGCTGCCTGCTATCCTGGCCCAGTCAGACTGGTAGTTGTGGTCACTGTGTTTCTATGTACATAGCAGACAGGTGTATGGGAGCTCATAAGCTGAAGAATTACTTTCTCTCTCTGCCTTTTTAATTACTGTGCTTCTCTTTATGTCTTTCCCTCCCTTGCACATTCCTTTTCTTTTTGTTGCTTACCTGGGCATTTGATAAGGTATTGATTTCTTTCTGACTAATGGGTTATAATTCAGAAATGATTCTGCCCTAATCTAAGGCACAATCAGAGCACAATCACCATGTAAAAAGTACGGAGGGAAGGAAGGATGGAAGGAAGGAAATGAAGAAATAGGTGACAATAAATTATCTTTGAACCTCTAGTGTGAACCTCTATTGCAGTGTGAAGATAAAAGCAAATCCAAAAAAGACAGAAGAATGCTATTTATGTTTATCCTTACCCTGGATATGATACAGCCTTCTCAAAGGAGCAGGCAGAGTAACAGCCCTTAAATTCCACTATGGAATTGCATATGGAGAGCTACTGTGTATCCAAGCTTTCCATGCCATTTTTTATGATTGCATTTGTTTTTGTGCAGACTTCCATGTGTAGAGCCTCTCTGTGTGGACCATCATAGGAGGAACTTTATATTTCTTAGGAAGGAGCCTATTCCAGCAATCTTTCCCTCCCTCTTTTCCTAGCTCTTCTGTATATTTGTCCCATTTTTCCAGCTTTTGTAACTCAGTCCCTTTAATCCAGGAGTATTGTAAAGTAGCTTCTTTGAAGTTAGCCATCTTGGTATGTTAATATTAGCCTGCCGTATTTTATGAGTTCCTAACCATATACCTTAGAAAATTCTGATTACCCTAGGGTAGCTTAATGCATGCAAATATAGGAAGAAAAGTGCACATTAGACATAATAGATTAGAAGAGCAGCTGTGGGAAGGAGCAACCAAGCTTGGGTGGGGCTTTCAGGAGCCAGCTCCAGCTGTCCCTTTCTCATATAGAGGGAGACAAGGAGGAAAAAAGTAGATGAACAGATGAAATAATGAAGATGGGCCCAGACTCCAGGTGTGAAGCTCCACCTCTTGACATCATTTGCCTCAACAGGCTTGGTCCAAGAGAGGAATCCAGGCCTTGCAGAAAAGTATTTCTAGTTTGAGATAGAAGCATATTTGTGTGATCTGGGTCTCCTGCTGCATTGATACCCATAGTAGCTACCAGTAGTATTTTCTGGTCCTCTCCAGCGATGTAGAAGTTAAGCTACCACAGGACTTGGAAAGTAAGACATCTGGGAGAATTTTGTAACTACACTCCTTTCCTTGACTCTTCATGCCTTTGAAGTTATTGCTACATATCAAACATTTGTCATGTGTGTATGATGGCTCACATCTGGAAACCAAATGCATGTCAAGATTTTAAACAGGTTTAACGTTCTGAAGAATATATTACTGTTCTGTAAATGTTCTGTTCAGTTTATCTAATTAATCCCCATTCTGTGTTAGATAGAATGTTTTGTTAAAAGCATATAAACTGTCAAAATCACTTGAGAACACTAGAGGGCTCTATTGCACTGTGATTTGGAAACCTTTGGAAACCTTTTTGAAGTGAGATGATATACAATGGCTACACAAAATTTCTTTTTACAATCACAGGAGCAAGTTAAATAAATCTAGGAATTCAGTAAAAATGCAAAAATAGGAGTGAAATTTGAGAAGTGCTCATCTGACACCTTTGACACTTTTTATTTTGTCATAGGTTTTTAAAGAAGAAATTCCTAGGCCAATTTTATTTGAAAAAAAATAAATAGAATAACATTTTTTCATTTGCATTAAGAGAGAAAAACATTCAGTGTATGTTATGAGAACACTTTATATTCTCTTGGAATAAGAGTTGCTTTTCCAGTTGAATCTTACACATGTGTGATGTGTGGATTAATAGCATTTTCCCAAAGCCACAAGAGATGAGACCACCAAAAAAAAAAAAAATCAGATATCTTGTTCTAGGTCATGTAATAAGAATAATTGTTTTTGGAAAGCAGTGACTTCAGAGATCTTAAGAATGAAATGATATTCATACCTAGAGCCCCCTTCTCCACCCCATGCTCATGGGTTATACTACACACTTACCTTCTTTGATACCGTGCATACAGGATATCCTCAATGGGCTTTTTGGAACTTTCTTAGTTCCAGAGCTACCATAAGATTGAGAGGATACATATAGTAGTGAATAATGGTGGTAGCAAAGGGGAAATCCGTAGAGCTTCAAAACTCCGTAGACTAGAGATTGTGAGTCTTTGATGTTCATCCTCTGCAGGGTGGATGACTGTAAGACTGTAGAATAAATTTGTCTGCTGCCTTTGTGGTTACAGCATCTTCATCTCCTCCTATAATTACTTTGAGCTTGCAGGAACACTTTGTTGCAGTGCCCAGCTTGTGCACTTTGTTCCCTGGAAGGACAAGAGATTGCCATTGGCATCACTGCAGGCTCTCCTGTCATCTCATTTATTCCCAGATCCCTATAGATTTGCCTGCAGCCCTTTTCTGCATTGTATCTCATTGCTCTTATTTTATTCTACAGAGAAATTTTGCTAAATTATGAGCAGACCCAGCTGCATAGGATAATTCACTAGGACATCAGTTTGATATAGCCTAATGCAAGTAGGCTTAATTGTCATTGTAAGGCCATATGTTGATGGACTGGAAAAAACAGGGTGGTTATGTTGTATGGATTTGCCTTTACAAAGAGAAAGAGCAGATGGAAGGTGGGAGATTAAATAAAGAATACAGCACATACTGCTTTTTAAAAAAGAAAATATATTCTAAAATATAGAAATAATTTTCTAATACCTCTTTCTGAGTGAAATTTATTTAGTTGTTGAACTAAGCAGATGAGGATGGTTTGAAAATTAAAGAGGCTATCTTTGAAATAATTTCTTGGCCTTCATAATGAAATGCTTTGAAAATCATCTTTGTTATTATTAGAAGTAACTCTATTTTAACATTGCTAAAACCAAATTACAGATGGAAGAAGAGAGGTGAAGAATATATCACATTTACATCATGCTTTCATTTTGGTTTTTAATTCTACATTAATTTACAAAAACCATTCATGGTTTCAGATTGGTTGTGAAACATAAAATTTAACAATTAAAAGATGTTATAAAAGTTTTTTGTTGGATATTGTCATATGTGACAAACAAAGCCCAGAAGTAGGGACACTGGTATTTTTAGCTGTATAAAAAAGAACAAAATGCTGGTTTATAGAGAGATTGAGCCTGTAGTTATTCAGGCAGAAAATAAAGTTGCTAATGTCCTAACCTTGCTTTCTTGTAGATGAAGCCTAATTAATAACAATAGGAATAGTTCCAGGGAATTTGTTTAGGTATAAGGGTAAATTAATTAAGGTTTGCAATTAACAAACCAGATGTTTCAATATTTTGAAAGGAGTCAGGGCATAATCCAATGCATGTTTAGACAGAAATAGTCATCAAACTCGCAGCATTCCCCAGCTAGCCATTGTTTTTGGGGGGATTCCCACTGCACTGTCTAACACTATTGGCATTGTATTAGAAGTCCCTTAGGCTAATTTACTTTACTGGAATCACACTGCCCAATATTTCCAGAATATTGCAGAAATTCACAGTAATGCATAACAGTAAACTTGTTGTTTTTATTGTAGAGAAATATTACTATATATCTCCCTTAGTTGGTGCCTTTTTCTTGGCTCTGACTCCTATGTGGATTGTAATTGCTGCTAAACATCCAGCCACAAGAACTGTCCTCCACTCAGGGTGGGAGCCTGTTATAACTGCTATGGTCATAAGCAGGTAAGTAGATTTAATATCGGCTGAGCATATGTTTTTCATAAAGGGACCTAGTCCAGCTATGGTTCTCTTTTAAGCAGACAATGTACCTGACAAAAAATACAAAAGACAAAACAGAGAAATACATTCCTGTTCATCTGAATAAGGAATGTAGAATGAAATGTGAATCCCAGTGGTTAAGCAAGTTTAACTATTTCATTTATTTATTCTAACACTGATGCTTATTTATTTGAAATCATTCTAAATAGCCCTTCATCCCAATGGATTTCAGAGTGTTCTACAAAAGCATGAATAAACTGAATCATGCCAATATAAATGCAACATGGTAAAACATCAGTAACAGGTAGAACAAGAAATGGCAGGTACAAGTATAAAAATCCACAAACCAATGAGTCTTTGAGAGCAGGTCTGTGGTCTCAGAGCATTTGGCCAAGTTCTTCTGGTGTCAGAGACAGGACTCTGACCTTGGAAGGGGGAGCTGGAGGTCTGCCTGCTCCCCCACTCCCTTGTAGCTGACATGAAAACAAGCTGGCAGCCAGTTCAGAGCAAAAAGCCATCCCTGGGGAAGAAAGAAGTTGTTCTAGTGGGCAGGGAGGGGAGGAGACCGTCTTCTCCAGCCTTCTTCCCACCCTTCCAAAAAGCCCTCACCAGATGGACTGTAAAACCTGTCTAGGGAAAATCTTAGTTTTGCTGTGCCCCTCTGCTGATCTTGCTACCCAGCTAACTTCAGGCAGGCAGGGCATAAGAATTGTGGGACTCTCTAGGTTTGGAGGCTTCTGAACAGTGAGACTGGAGATGGATGACACTTTGCTGAACTTCAGGGCTTTGGGGAGTATTTTATAATAAATAATAATGTGGCTGCACACATACACTGATCTGTCATATAGCTCTCTCAATTAGCTCAAATAGATAATCCTAAGAACATTTCCTATTTTTGCTAGATTTGTGTCTTTAAACAGTAAGGATTTTGTACACTTAACATGTAGCAAACTTGAAGGAAAAGCTAGAGTTCCAGAAAGCTTCTGTTTCTGTTTCTAAAAAATCCTTTACATAATTAAAAATGAATTTGGATACCTTTTCATTTGTTTGAAACCTTGAACTCTTTTTCAGTATTGGTGGCCTTATTCTGGACACAACTGTATCTGATCCTAATTTGGCTGGGATTGTTGTTTACACTCCAGTAATCAATGGTAAGGCAGACACAGGATTTCTTAAAATTGCTGTGGCTCAATGCATGCTGCTTAGATAAAAGAATATTCTAGACCAAACTGAGACATAAGTGGGTGGGTATCTACTACAGTAAGTTACACTATAATTTTAGAGTAAAAACAGTTCCTGGTTTTGTATTGCAATGGAGGGAAATGATAAATATACATTCACAGTATGAGTGAGAATGAAAAAAATATTTTTTAAAGCTATCATGGTTTAATCTGTCTAGACCCCAGAAATAGATTTTAAAATATTCTGTTAGAAAGATATACTTATATAAACACTTGTGTAGGCAGAAAGTGGCTACAATATTATTGTAATGTCTCAGTTTAACATTACAATAGTCAGCACATCCCTCCTGTTCTCTTAAGCCATTATATTCCACTGCACTGAGTCACCCATATGGATGGGGTCATATCCAATTTCCATGTGCATTTTATGTACATTCTATTAGATAACAGGTACTAGCATCAAATAACACGGCAGTGTGTTAGAAACAGCACATCAAACACTGTTGATGATGTAATGAAATAATACTGATTATGTCATAATAATATGAAATTAATGATTAGATCATTATAATTAATATTCTGCACACACATGTGGACACTTTAAAGGCACATGCATATTACTATATTGAAAACCTTGAGATACAAACTTTTTCTAGAATCTTGTTAGTGAATGAATTTTATAAGCCAAAAATACTGCATTGCATTAATATGTCAGAATGTTAAAATATTAGAACAGATTTGACCAACTTGATAAACGTTTACTATCAATAAAATAAAGCACTATTGGTTTCCACTGCCCCATCCACAGGGGTAGCCTGTGGTAATGGCATGACAACGCATACTATTTCTTGACTAGCCACTTCATTCCAGTTTTATTTTTTGAGCAGCCCCATGTCAAATTTTGCCTCCACTCCATTTGTCCTTCAACTAACCTTATGTCATAATGTAGTTATGCTGCCTATTTTCCTATCATGCTCAAACTAATTTTCTGGGGAGTGCAGTGATGTTACAGCACGGATCAACATGTGCTATGTTCTGGAGAAGAAAGGTGAACTTAGTAAGGGGGCTGCCAGTTTTGGATGTGGCTTTGAGATTCTTCTAGTTCCACTCTGTGATTTTCCACTTTAACTAGGTACCAAAAAAGAAATTTCTTAAGTCTTTTACAATAAAATCATACATTTAAGAATCTTGACTTTTCCTGCTATTACTCTTGAAAATGCCTTAAAAGACATACTATGATCTATTCTCTCTCAATCAGAAAAAAGGCAACACTGTTGAAATGTAAAATAGCGATGTCCCACTTTAGATATATCTGCATTAAAATGTATAGCTTGCCAAAATAATTAAACTGGACTATTATGCTATTTGCAGCTGGTTGCTCTATCCAGAATGGTTAAACTAGACTTCTGTACAGCAGCCTATGACTCTTAATTAATTGTATGAATCTTAATTCTCACACACACATATATGCACACATGCATTTAGCCTCTAAACATTTTACTGCAATAGGCATTTAAAAGAGGTTATTCACTCATTAAAGATTTGTGCCAATAATCTGGTATATTGACACCCTGTTGTTTTCAGTAGCTAATCTCTACCACATGTACATTTTAATGGCTTTCTACTATTCTTCATGAGGTAATTAGTCTTTACAACAGTCCAGGTAATTCAACAAGCATAATAGCAGACAAGCTATTAGAGGAAACAAATTGTTCATTAGGTAAAGAGGAAAAGAAAACAAAACCATTTTTACTTAAAGGAGTATGCCTCAGGATTAAAATCACAGAGGAGGATTTTGGTATTAAAATCAGAGAAAGTAACCACCAAGTTAAATATGAAAAAGAAAAGATTTTTAACCATGTAAGTCTAACCCCTTTTGGAACTGAAAACAGGATTCGAAAGGATCACCTAAGAATAAAAAGTCAGAAAGGGCAAAATTTGATTTCTATATATTTATTTTACTAGCAGTTATGGCACTAGACATTATGTCTTGAGTTAGATTAAATGTGCGTGTGCACACACACAATTTTATGTAGCTGTGGGGGGCTCCAAACTTGAGTGATAATACAAGGAAGGTTAATCTGTTCCTCTCCTGCCATTTTTCCAATCAAAATTGCC